ACGCCATTGCGTTATCCACTTAGCTACAGAGTCCTGATAGCTACTTACTTGTGCTATGGGGTGAAATTTTAATTCACTCAATGTTGTTTTACTTGTATCTTCTCATTGTTATTTAGGACTACAATTGTTCAATCTCTTGTTGGTATATATGCATCCTGTTCGAATTGTCTTGATATAACTTTAAATCATAAGCTTTTCAAATAAAGATGGATCGTGGCTAACAGTGGAATCTAAGACTATTTAGGACGAAATGCTCTTCCTGGATTCCACTGTTAACCACTATCCATCTTTATTTTCTAAAAAACAAAAACAAACAGTCAAACCATTTAAATTATATTTTATAGTTATTATCATTAAACACATCTGTATGTTAATAATATTGATATTTGTTTTGTTTTAATGAAGGCGCCATTTCTTAACTTAAACAACAACAACAACAATAAGAAAAGAGAAAAAACTTTTATTGAACATTGATTTAAAATGTACAGAACACTTATGTATTTATTTATTAAAAGACTGACTCCTTTCTGTTTTAAATTGTTACCACACAAAATGAATTTTTTTTTTCTTTTTTAATGTTCAATATGTTCTTGTAATGTATCGTAAGGAAATCATAAATAGAAGTAATTTTTTCATATCACATATGGTGTAAGTGTGTGTGTGTGTATATATATATATATGAGGGGGGGGGTATATGTGTATGTTTCTAGTTTAAAAAAGTATCTATTCAAACATTTATGATTCAACTTATAAGTTAATCAATTAATAAATATGTTTTTAGTTAGTTTATTTGTTTTTGTTTTGTCGGGAAAATTGTAATTATATTATAGAAATGAATATAAAGTACTTAATAATGACCTACAACAAAGAAGTGTGTATATTTAGAAAGCTAGACCACCATAGATAACCTAGAAGTACTCAACGGTCGTTTCATTTTATTATGGGACTCTTGAGTTCGAATCTTACGAGGCAGGATCATGGATAGGCATTGTTTCTGATGAATCCCATAATAAGATGAAACGGCAATCTAGTGGTAGTCTAACTTCAAATGACTCATGAATTCTGTATCTGAAATCTTTAAAGACCTATCAGGACCTACCAGGTCCTGGGTTCGGATCCCACGAGTCGGGGTCATGGATGCGCACTGCTGAGGAGTCCCACAATAGGACGAAACAGTCGTCCAGTGCTTCCAGGTTTTCCATGGTGGTCTAGTTTTCATTGACTCATGATCTCAACTGTTGAAATTACTACAATCTACACAAAACCCCTTCTGATTCATCCATTTACTAGAAATTTAAGCAAATATTTATTAGGTATCTAAATTCAATATCCTTGTTAAATCTTCATTTTTTTAATACTATGTTAATTTCACTCACTATGTTAAACAGATCTAATTGAATCAAGATCATTTTTTAACGATGGTAATCAGTATTAGATTTTGTGGAAGGTATCGAACAATATGGAGTAACTATAGGTTAGCCAAATGTTGAGAAGTAGAAAACGTGGAATAATTATTTCAACGTAGTTAGTTATTACTCAACCTGAAACTTACAAGATCATTCAATTGATACTGAAGTAGTTTACATTTTAATTCACTAAAATTCATGATGATCTTTCATTGTCATTAATAATACCTTTCTTATACTTGATATTGTTGAATACTATCAGTTAAAGCTAATCACTAACACAGTGACCCGAACAGTAATCTCTCACTATGAGATTTATAAGTCTCAAGTTCGATCTTTGATTAGGTCAGGAGTTCAGATTGCTCAGTAGTTTCTAACTAGAACGAAACAGTTGACCAGTGTTTCTTAGTTAAAATGGTTGTTTAACTTCAATGTAATTCTACAATATATGTATATGCATAAACATTCATCTTAGAAGAAGCTCATATCAGTTTGCTGGCCTTAAACATCAAAATTATTTGAATTTCATTTTTCTATTTCAAATATAGTTTTAGCCGCGGTGGATCGTGAACGCTTACTGCTGAACAGTTCCATACTAGGACGAAACGATTATCTAATGCTTTCAGGTTTTTCATGGTGGTCTAGCTTCAATCAACTCATGAATTCACCTATAAAATATAATAAATAACATATTTAAAATGTTTATACATGACTACTGAGTGGGAATATAGTTTTACATAAGACTGACCACTTTTAAGATTATTTTAAATTAAAATTGCGTGTGTGAATATTTCATTCCTTTTTTTCACATATATTTATAATTACATTTAAACTAAAAAAGGCAAGTAACCTTGGCAACTAAAGACGTAATATTATTACTAGCAACTTAACTAAGCTTTTATCTTTTATCCTTCTAGTGGCTACTTGTCATTTAAGTAGTATGTATATGTATATGAAGTATATGATTCTTCATCTTTTAAGAAAAAAATGATTTTCAGTCTAGATGAAAGTCAGAGTTGAAATGACACGAGAGTGAAGTTTTTGTCATATAAAATGGATAATGGCTTATAATGGCTTATTCAATATATATGTATACACGTGCAGTGCTCTTATACACACACACACACATCCATATACATATATATAAAGAGAGAGAAAGGGGGTACAAACTGCTTTCAGTTAGTATTCCTTATTGTAAATCTTAAAATTCTTAATGCTGATGAGTATATTTTGCCTTATTCAATGTTCCCTTTTTGGTAGTCAATCGCGACAGCAGTCAGTAAAAATGATATCCTTATGTCATTTTATAACTAAGTTGTTATGTCATATTGTCATGTCTGTATACATGTATAAATGTGTCTAAATGTGTATGTGTTTCTAATGAATAAGGACAATCTGATTACGTAATCCAAACACGTGATATACAAAAAAGTTCATCAACAATGAGTTGGTATCTTTATCAGACACGTGAAACACACAGAGATGAAGGTTAGAATAAGAAGAAAAACTTATAAATATGCCTTTAGTGATTCTCTCAACTGTGAGAGTGGTACTTGACCTTAGTAGTGAAATCACAGATGTTGATGACCAATGACGTAATTTCCTTGACTAATTTATATCTTCATATCCTAGATACAATAAGATGGAATTATTATTATGTGTATGCGTATATATGGATGGGGTTGGGTGGGGGAAAACTATAAGGAAGAAATAAATAGACGGCGGAGATAATAGTAATAATAATAATTGTTGTTGTCAAGGTTAAAAGATGTTCTAGGAATTGCGTAACTTTGATTTAAATATGTTTATGTCAAATATAGAGATTATTTTTAAATTAAATTTCTATATTTATTTTACCTTTATAATATAATTTAATATCAGCTTATGCACATATTAACAATGCAGTTTCATTTATTTAGTGATTTACATATCCTGTAAGTTTATTACCTTATGTTATCTCCAGAGTAGCTCAGTGATAATTTCTAAGACTGTAAAACTAAATGATGGATATTTGAATGAACAGTAGAATGTACACTTTCATAGTCAGTAAGAATTGGATGCAAAGTGCTAGTGGGTGGCCCATACTCTTCCACGAGGCGCAACAGGAATAAGTAAGGAATTAGCATGAAACTTCAGTTTAGAAATTTCTATAGATTATCTACAACTGACTAAATTATACTGAGTAAACAATATGGACATATATAGGTCTCATCATATGGTTTAATTTAGTGTTCATATTTTGAATATTTACTATTGAAAAAAGTGTAAACTGTTAGAATGAAAGATCTGTTCAGTGTTTCCTAGATTCAATAGTTGAAATCATGAGTCAATTGAAGCTTGACCACCATGGAAAACCTGGAATCACTGGACAGCCGTTTCGTCCTAGTATGGGACTTCTCAGTGTCAGTGAGCATCCACGATCCCGCCCCCCTCAAGGTTCGAACCCGGAACCTATCAGTCTCGCGCGCGAGCGCTTAACCATTATACCACTGAGTCGACCAGCATCCAACGGTGGTAATGTTTTCTAGTTATTAATAAGCAGTTTTATTTATGATTAGAGGTTATTTCGACAATTAGATGGTGTTATGGTATTAAGAACAGCTGACTAGTACCAACTGTTAAGTTAACAATCCGAATCCTGATTCCAATTTGATTTATATACTGTACAACTTGATGTTTCTGACTTGGTCAATTACTCGACCAACTCTGAGCTGATATGACTAAGTTTCTGCTGGTTCACTATTCACAAACTACTCTCTATCTCCTACCTTGAGTCCGAAAAATCAACAACCAGCCGTTGCTATAATCATTATTATATAAGATATATTGGTTCAGTGAAAACTTGTTTGTATACAGACATACCAGACTGCATCAGACCATAAAACGAAAAAGTTACAATTTTACACCAATAACTCAAAATGATTGAAATTAGGGAAAACCATAAGTAATCGACTGACAACAAGTGAGGAATAATAAATCCTATAATTGTAGTTAATGAGTTGACTGAAAGTTTATCACGAACGGATATAGTTGTCAGAGTAATTATTGTTTTAATCTTCCTTCTGCTATGTCAGATAGTGACCTGAATTTTATTCTAATGGATTCATGATTTCAACCAGTGAACTGTCTAAAATCTCCAAACAATCCCTTCTGATAATAATAATCATCTGCTCACTAATGACTGACTTCAAGAGATACTCCTGAAGTTCTAGTGAGAAGCCATTACCAGTGGAGTTTAACCAGGTCTCTTGTGAGATATCAGCTCACTGAAGAAAATGGTGTATGGTGGTGAAACTTCGTGGATTGGTTGAAGTTAGACATTAACACCATTGGATGCCGGCTCAGTGGTCTAGTTGGTTAAGCGCGTGGCGCGAGACTGATAGGTCTGGGTTCGAGTCTCTCGGGGAGCGAGATCGTGAATGCGCACTGCTGAGGAGTCCCATACTAGGACGAAACGGCCGTCCAGTGCTTCTAGGTTTTCCATGGTGGTCTAGCTTTAATGGATTCATGATTTCAACCAGTAAAATTTTTAAAATCTCCACACAATCCCTTCTGATATTTATTTATTGTAACAAACTATTTTGATTTTTTCAGCTGTTCAACATGAACGTGGACCAAGAAATTCTACATTAAGACGACAAGTTGCTTTATTGATGACTAATGATCATCAAACTATACATAAATCACAATTATCTCATCAATCAAATCAATTATATCATCAATATGCAACATCATATCAACAATTATCTCAATCATCTATTCATCAATCTATACCATTTCCACAAATACCAATATCAACACAATTGATGCATACTAATACATTATTAGATATGACACTTGGAAATTCATTGAATATAAATAATGACAAAGATACTACTACTACTACTACTACTAATAATAATAATAGTAATATTGATCAACAATATTCAGAAAATCCATTATCAATTAATAATATATTGAATTTTACAAATCCTGCTTTTCTATGCTTAAAATCTACAAATGAATCACTACCTTTTTGTTCGACTACACCTTCATTATCATTATTGTCAACATTGTCTTCTTCTTCTTCTCCTTCTACTACTACTATTACTACTCCTACTGCTTCCACTTCCAATACATTGACAACAATTACATCTATGAATAATCCCATGGTTACTACTTCTAAAATAAATGATGATGTGAATATTCTTTTAACTAAATCACCAAGTATTGCTATATCATCATCATCACCATCAATCTGTTCTACATCTTCTACAATGAATATCAACAATAACAATAATAGTAATAATAATAGTTTTCATTATTTAAATTATTTACCTTCTATGTTTAATTTATCTAATCCATTTAATTTAAATTTTCCAAATAATAATTATTTTTCAACCATAAATAGATCTACATTACCATTCAGTATGATGAATACTACTACTCATAATGCTATGAGTAGTGTTATTACGAACACTACTGATAGTAGTACTATGAATATTGACAATATTAGTACTACTACTGCTACTACTACTACTACTACCACTACTACTAATACTACTACTAATACTACTAATAACAGTAGTAATGAAAGTACTATAAGTAGTATGAATTGTTTAAATAAAAATGATAAATTAAACATTAATAATATTGATCCAATAGAATATCCATTCAGTAGAAATATACTTGATCAATTACATAATCCTTCTCATAACAATAATAATGATAATGATGATCGTGATCATGATGATCATGATGATGATGTTACCATGTCTAATGAACAAATGACAATCTTATCATCAAATATAAAAACAACATGGAATAAAGCATTAGCATTTGCTAAATTATATTTACCAAATTTATTTACATATTCAAATACACATAATGATTATATTGATCATTCTATTAATAATCAATATATAGATTATACAAAATCATTATTACATTTTCAATCAATTTTAAAATTAAATAATCAATATGATTATGAAAAATCAATATTATGGCCATGGTTTATATCAAATTATAATCAATTTACTGATTCATTATTATATTCAACTTGTATAAATGATTATAATTTGAATAATAATCCTTCTAAACAAAATAATCATAATATAATTGAACCCAATAATAATGATCATGTGAATTTAACACAGAATTGTAATATGAATTCAGGGAATAAAATGATCAATACATTATATCCTACAATTCCAATATTAACATCATCAGTAACATCTACAGTGATATCAAAACCGATAACTATTACTCAATTACCGTATCATTCTTCTTCTTCTTCTTCATTATTCAACTTATCACAGAGTATGATAATGAATATAAATGATAGATTTAAGAATTGTACAAATGCATGGCTTTTAAATGAAAGTCAATCCATGCAAAGGAAATATGATTTAGTACATCAAAAAGGTTAGTTTTAAGATAAGGACTATTTTTTTTCAGATTTAAAAACAGTCAGTTAGTTACAACGTAGGACCAGGCACATATATGTATCGGTCCAAGTTACCACACCTTACTCATTACCACAACAAGATGAACACAGGATTCATAGAAGTGGTTAATTTAATGGCAGTAATATATAAAATAAAGATTGCATATAAGGACATAGTACAGGAAGAAAGAATTATTTCATAGAAAGAAAGATATGAAGCGATTTTAATCTCTTAATTTAAGAGAATATCAACCATTGGTTACGATAGTCACGAGGACCCCAACCAAGTAATCTGCATCCATCAACATGGCTAATACTAGAAGTTAGTGACTTCAAGGACTGATGCCATGTTTTGGTTTAGCCGCCCTTAACTTTATTCCAACCATCCTCAACACCGGTTAGTATTGCACGTCGTATTCAGGCATACGTAACATGTGGCCCAACTACTGATGAGTAGTTTACTTTTTCATCATGTTATTGGTCGTATTCTGTCGTGTGAGTAGTTTGTCATCTTTTTTTATCTAAAAAATTTATACTACTAATTTCATAGTTTAAAAGATTTGCAATCGGTTGAATGATTTTTGTTTTTTCTATCAAGTGTAAGTCTATGAATATTATTTATGTAATATATTATTTATCTTTCCAAAGAAAATATAATGGATTCGGACAAGGATTTGAATATGTAACAATATAAGTTAAGAAGTTATATGTTTTAACAAAGCATTCTTCTTATCTAAAATAACTAAAATTTTTAGAATAAACTGAAAACAAGAGGTATCGAATACTCTGTCTATTTCAAGTAGAGTGATAATGATGATAATTGTATTCAGAAAAACAATGACTACTGGACAGATCAACCATCTGATTAAGAACTCAGTATTATTAAAAGTTATACAACTACAAATGTCCTTCATTAGTTTGAAGAATAAAGTTAATTATAATACAGTAATGAGTTTGACCTAATTTTGTATTTCAGTTTCATGTATTTCAACTATCAGATTCTAGATTAGACGAACCACATATCTACTTACTTTTGCCTGAACTATAATACAGATTTATATATACAATCTGGCTGAAATCTGTGTGATAGAAATCAGTTATTAGTGAGTTTTTAACCAAATGTGTTTAGTATAAAAATGAACTTGTGAATAGCTGATAACTTGTTTAACATCATCACCGTTGTTTTAAAATAACTGTACTTGTTGTGACTTATGCCCGGTTAATTATCACATGATATGATCGCCAATCAGAATGCGACCTATACAATCTCAGCACTATGCCAAACCAATGATGTATTGACCGTTATGAGAAGCTTACATTCCTTATTGGTCCTTTATCCTCCTAGCCCTGCCTGTTGAGACCAGAACACCAATATCAGCCTCCAATATATGAATAATTTATTTTAAACATATCTGGTCTATATACAAGCCAAATGGACCACGTGGATACAACCACTACCAGAGAAGTCCTACTCACTGCCTTCTCGCGGAACCGGTGTTGTTTACGAAATTAAGAGAAAGAAAAGAGAGTGTCCGGCGCTTCAACCAAGTTGGTGGACACGGAGTTCGACTCAGAGAAGTTGACAAACCCTGATTCCTAACCAATGATGGACATAGGCTCCATTTTCCTGAGGGAAGAATCCTTTGTTGGTCACTTATTTCTGTGGAACTGAATCTCCTGACATTGCTCCATTGCCTTGTGGATCAGACCTTTAGATCAAAGGCTCTGGGTGTGGCCCCCTAAGAAAACCACCTACTTCGGTTTGGGAACCCGGTCAGTATTCTAGCTCTCACATATTTATTTGGTGTCTCCTTGTACTAAGGTTTATGTGTTTAAATAATTAAATAAGATATTAATATTGAATACTCATAATCCTTGAAAAAATTTCATGTCTTAATGAATTCTGTTTGATATTTCCTCTCTTTTATTTTTATTCAATAACTACTAACAGAAAATCCACAACATTGTCAACCATTACCTCCATCATATTCAGAAGCAATAAAAAATCAAATCACTATATCAAATGGATTATTATTATCATCATCATCATCATCGTCATCATCAACAATTATTGATTTAAACAAAACTATATTAGATTCAACAACTAGTGAATGTTCAATATTAAATCAATCCAATGATAACAATAATAATAATAATAATAATAATAATAATAATAATAATAATAATAATAACAATCCATACTATTCATATTCATCATTAATTCCTTCTTCTCCTATTATGAATGGATTATTACCATTTTCTCCATTGCCTTCTATATCTTCCATATCATATTGTAATCATTTTCCATTGATTAATTCATCTTATCTCTCTACGTCATCAGCAACAACAACAACAACAACGGTGACAACAACAACTTTGTCATCACCATTCTTGTCAACATCAACATCAAGTTTATCAATATCATCAAAGTATTCCTCCTCGTCCTTCTCCTCCTCCTCCTCCTCATCATCATCATCATCATCATTAATAAATACAACATGTTTACCATTGAATATAATACAATATTATTTAAATCAATTATTATTTCAATTAATGAATTGGTTATGTCAATTTAGACCAGATTTAAAAATAAATGAACATTTTAATTGTTCTATAAATAAGTACAATATGATTAATTCAATGTGTCAACAATGGGATTATTTATTTGGTATAACACTTTTTTTAGAATTTTATAAAATGTCATTAGATGGGACTACTACTACTACTTATAATAATAATAATATTAGTAGTAGTAGTAGTGGTGGTGTTGGTGGTGGTGATATGGATGAAATAAATGATCAATCTATTGTTTTTAATAAAATGCATTATTTATGGTTGGAATTTGTATGTAAACCATTAGTTATATCATGGAATAATGTGAAGAAATCAAATATTGGTAAGTTTGATTGAAATTTTTGATCAGAACGGTGCTCTTTTTTGTTGTGAATATTATAGTAATTTCAGCAGTTGAAATTATGAGTCAATTGAAGTTAGACCACTGCTGAGGAGTCCCATAATAGGATGAAACGGCCGTTCAGTGCTTCTAGGTTTTCTATGGTGGTCTAGCTTCAATTGACTCATGATATCAACAATTGAAATTTATATGTTGGATATTATTATTATTATTATTATTATTATTATTATTATTATTATTCTATGCTATAGTATGATTTGGTAGAGATTGTTAACAAAAAAAACTAATCAAATAACTTAACGTCCAGTTAATATATTTAAATACAATTTTACATTGAGAATGAATTAATATGCCAAGTTTTGTTTCTCTTCAATTAATGTCTTGATATGATGTGCACAATATGCCGATTAAATGTTATCGTTGGAAAAAAACCTTTAAAGGTTAGTAGTAATTGATAACTTGGTTGAAACTCTGCTAGAATTTAAAGTAACTGTCAATCAATACAAAGGTCAGAATTTTCAATACAAATGTCAACACATTTCTACTGTGTGGAGTGGAAACCTGAAGAATTACGAAAGCAATCACCCAGAAGATACAAGTGTTTATTAACAACTATCAACGCAAAATACTTTGGATCCGTTGGCTAGACACTATCAGCAACAACCTACTGTGGGAGAGAACAAACCACATTCCTGCGGAGAAAGAAATAAGGAAGAAGCACTGGAAGTGGATAGGACACACATTGAGGAAAGCACCCAACTGCGTTACAAAGCAAGCCCTCATTGGGAAACCTCAAGGCCAAAAGAGAAAAGGAAGACGAAAGAACACATTACGCCGAGAAATGGAGACAGATATGAGAAGAATGAACAAGAACTAGAAAGGAAGGCCCAGGACGTAGTGGGTTGTAGAATGCTAGTTGGTGGCCTATGCTCAACGGTAGGGGAACAGGCGTAAGTAAGTAAGTAATTGATATCCTGGGAAAGTTCTTGGCTTATGGTGGAATAATTAAGTGGTCAGTATGGTGTACAATCTAGGCATTGATTCAAAAAGTCACAGAATACTGAATAGAATTACTTGGAAATAGTTAAGACTCCCTAGGTAAAGTCAGGTGAATTACCTTCATCAATGAAGACTTTAGGTAAAATAACCTTAAACCACCATAGTCGAATAGCTGAACTCGTACCTAGATATCTTTCAATCCTAAATTCTGATTTTCAGTATAGTATTTCACATTTTGTATTTCTTTTTTTTTTTTTTGAATTAAATTTTTCTTCTTTAATTGTTTTCAATAATTAATCTTTTGACGAGACTATAATTTATGGACGAACCAGTCACGTATAAGATAATAGGTCTCAAATTTTGGTGAAAAATTTACTTATCCATTTGGCTAAATAGAATTTTGACATTATTCTTGATATCAGTATGTGATAAAAACCCCGAATCTAATTCCTAACCTTAACCATCAAACTATAAATCATAATTCTAATTCCTCAAACAGGTTTATAACCCTCATTCGGTCCTAGTTATAAGGTGGACACTCTCAAGATCAGTCTACCGTCGCTCGAAAATCGTTCATAAATGATAGTCTCATTTTCATATAATGTTGTTACAATGTTCCATTGTTAATTTTTGTGATTGTCATTTTTTACTCTTTCAGATTTATTAACGACTTTATCAGAATCTAATTCAATAATTCAATTATTTTCACAATTAATTATTTTAAAATTAAATGAAGAAGAAATTGATTGGTTAAAAATGATGATATTATTTAGTCCAACCTCAGGTAATATGCTGATTGGTGAGTTAATTATTTAATTGACAAGGTCAATTGTTTTGATTGGATAGTATTATATGCTGACTAATTATGTCAGAAGTAGTTTTTTTAATGGATATTATAGTAATTTTAATAATTGAGATCATGAGTCAATTGAAGCTAGATCACTATGAAGAACCTGGAAGTACTAGACAGCCGTTTCGACTTATTGTGGAACTCCTCAGTGGCAGTGCGCATCTACGATCCCGTTTTATGAGATTCAAAACCAGAACTTAACAGCCTCGCACACGAGCGCTTAACCAAAAAACCACTGAGCTGGCCCGCATTCAAGAGTGGTCATTTATAACTTTAATCAATCCACGTAATTGAGTGACACCTCCACCATTGTCTTCAGTGAGTTACTACCTCAAAATAGACCCGATGGAACTCCACTGGTCACTGCTTCTCACTAGAACTCCATGGTATACCTCATGAAGCCAGTCACTAGTCAGCATGTGTTGATTAATATCAGAAGGGTTTTTTTGGATATTATAATAATTTTAATAATTGAGATCATGAGTCAATTGAAGCTAGAAAACTATGAAGAACCTGGAATTACTAGACGGCTGTTTCGTACTACTGTGAAACTCCTCGTGAGATTCAAACCCAGGACCTATCTAGCTTCAATTGACTCATGATCTCAACTATTAAAATTTTACACGAGGTTAATCATAGATACTAAACTATGTGACTGAAACATTGAGTTAAACAGCTTTGAATTATTTGTGATTAATATCAGTTCTTTCCATATTTTCTGAATAGGCTTAGATAATAAATAGTAATAGTCCAAAGTCTTCTATTTAATTAATATTATTCTTTAGATTCAATTGCATATTAAAGAATACAGAATATTAATGAAGTCAGCATTTTAATTGTAAATGATAAACAATGTCGTTCAAATAGTGTTTGTATCGATTAATTCGATGGATAACCGAATCACTTGAAAAAGAAGAAAAGGAACTATCGTTACGTTACAATTTAAATGTTTATTCAATATCAATAATCATTTTTAGAGACAAAGAGTTTAGATCATAATTAGATCTCTATTGGTCATAAATTCACTTGCTATTGTTTGCTTGAATCTTCCCATTGATGTGTTGTGACTGCAATTGATCAATCTCTCATATTGACATATGTACGTCTTGTGCGTATTACCTTGGTTCACAAGCATTATAAGCAAACATGGTTGATGGCTGTCACAGGAATCCAGGACGTGTGTTTTATCCTATTTGAGACTCGTCAGTTAGATATACCTGGATCTCAGAGTTGATGTTCACTTTGAGACTACGAACCCAGTACTGTTTACTTCAAATACAATCACTTTATCTAGTTAACTACTGAGTCCTGATAACAGTTTACTTGTGCAATAGGATGAAGTTTAAATTCATTTGGTATTGTTTTACTTGAATCTCCCCATTGACGTTTATCACTGCAATTGATCAGTCTGTTATTATCAGCATATATTAACCCAACATGTATTGCTTCGATATTACCTAAATTCACAAATATTCTATGCAAAGATGAATAGTGGCTAGCAGTAGAATTCAGTCATAGTGTAGCGAACAAGAACACGAGCAGGATATAAGTAGCTCACACCACACTCGTCTCTCCTTTAAGGCATTTATTCTTGAGGTGGTTCTACGCGTCGTGTCACTTCCTTCTTCTCTGCAGTCGTCAAAATGTCGAGTCTACGTGCGCTGACCTCCATAGGTCCGTCCACCTGCAAGAACACCAACTTTCGACATCCACACGGCACCCGGGACGTTCAACGCCTGCACTCCAGCAACCTGTTGAGCCATCGATTTACAATGTCCGGCCAGCATCCCTACGTCCCACTGCTCTTCTCTGTCGACAGAACCCGCTACAGCCAACCAGCACCTAAGCTCCAGGCCCGCAACAGTGTACACAAAACAGCACCGTTCCCTTCCTGGTTTGCATCGACACCAAATGTAGTAAACAAGAACACTAGTGGGGTAAATCGAGTATATTTGAGAACAATTTACAGAACATCTCACTAAAATCTAAGAACTATATACGAATCATTAATTTGCAAAATGTCAATCCATCATATCAAACATGACTGTTCCTGTTGCATACATCAATGCATTGTCTCAGATTTCATTGTTCATGCGTTTTCATACCAATTTCATTCTTTCCTTATCGACCTTCTACTGAAATACATTCTATGCCTGATCATCGTTATATACTACTTATATGAATATAAGTAGAGCGCCAGATTGCTCCAACCGGTACTTCAGCTCCAGGCCCGCAACAGTGTACACAAAACAGCACCGTTCCCTTCCTGGTTTGCATCGACACCAAATGTAGTAAACAAGAACACTAGTGGGGTAAATCGAGTATATTTGAGAACAATTTACAGAACATCTCACTAAAATCTAAGAACTATATACGAATCATTAATTTGCAAAATGTCAATCCATCATATCAAACATGACTGTTCCTGTTGCATACATCAATGCATTGTCTCAGATTTCATTGTTCATGCGTTTTCATACCAATTTCATTCTTTCCTTATCGACCTTCTACTGAAATACATTCTATGCCTGATCATCGTTATATACTACTTATATGAATATAAGTAGAGCGCCAGATTGCTCCAACCGGTACTTCAGCTCCAGGCCCGAAACGGCATACACAGAACAGCACCGTTCCCTTCCTGGTTTGCATCGACACCAAATGTAGTAAACAAGAACACTAGTGTGGTTAATCGAATATATTTGAGAACAATTTACAGAACATCTCACTAAAATTTAAGAACTATATACGAATCATTAATTTGCAAAATATTAATTCATCATCTCAAAGTTGACTGTTCCTGTTACAAACATCAATCTGTTGTCTCAGATTTCATTGTTCATGCGTTTTCATACCAATTACGTTCGGTTCCTTTTCTTTCCTTATCGACCTTCTACTGAAATACATTCTATGCGTGATCATCGTTATATACTACTTATATAGATATAAGTAGCTCACGTCATAATAATAGTTTTATTCGATTATTTTATATCATCATAATCAATTAATTACTTTATATTACATTTTATTTTGGTTTTTTTTCTTTTCTTTTCTTTTCTATTTTATATTTATTTATAGATTCATCATTTCAATTAACACATAATTATGTAATCAAATATTATCAAACAATTTTAAATGGTTGTTCAATACGTCAAGAACAATTAATGCATTTAATTCAAACAATTTATTCATGTATTCATATAAAATGTTATTTACCTTATAATTGGTTAAAATATTATATTGAATGTATATTTCAAATAAATAATGAAAAATTTAATTTAATTATTAAACAAATGATATTGACAGCAATAGAAACTTCTGAAATGTTAATGATGACAACATCATCACAACCATTACCATCACGAACAACAGCAACAGTAACAACTAATTTACATTAATATCTGTTGTGATTATTAAAAACAAAGAAAGAATTTATATTTTAAATCAAGCTAAAAAAAAATAGATCATAGTAACGAATGTTCAAGTTTAATTCAACATGTACACATACTCAGTAATGTTACTTGCTCTCTTTCTTACACGCACACACAGACACACACACACATTTATTCACTATAATCAAATGCTGTTGCCAAGTGATCCATTTTCAAGCCCCTCTCTCGCATGCGCACACACATTTATTCACACCATTTGAATATTATTATTATTATCAATAATACAGATGATATATTATTGTTGATTAATTAAAGAATGTTTTTGTTTTTGTTTTTTTCCCTCTCAATTTTCTCTACTTTTTTTGTTTTCACGAATTCAACGATCTCTTTAAATTAATAGATAAATAAGTTCAGGATTATAAGATTACAATAGTTACATAAACATAAACATAAACACACAACCTCACACACACACACACGCACACACACATAAATGCACTTGAAAACAAAATGAACAAACAACTATATGGAGAAAAATGATATTTGGTTTATTTATTATCATTTGATTACTCTATTTTTGTTGTTCTTTTTCTTGTTGTGTTTGTTGTTGTTACTGTTGTTTTACCTTATTTTATCATAAGAAATCTCTCACTTTCTTTTTTATAAGAAAAACTTTCTCTTTAGTTTTTTCTTTGTTTATTGTAGCATAAGTTTATTTCACCAAAGATAATATAAATCAACAGAAAAACGTAATTTTCTAAGAAAAAAAAAAGAAAAAAGAAAGAAACAAACAAACTATTAAGCCTATTCATAATAGACAATGTAATAATGTTACTGGAAAATATTTCGATTTTCTCAATTATATTACTAATATATTATTAATTAGTAATATCAATAGTATTATACTATTATACAGAATAGTTAATTTCTATTGGTTGTTTAATTAACCAATCAACGAATAGATGAGTAGGATTTATGCATATATAATATACATACCCTGTCACTTATGGTATTTCAATAAAATGACAGTCTAAACATTTATGATAACAGGGTTATGTTCAGAGATACACATATACATTTTGATATATATATATATATATATATATATATATATATATATATATATATATATATATATATAGAAAAAAACAAAAAAACTAATAACACATTAACCTACTCAAAAACACTTTTATTTCTTTATTTATTTCTTTTTCTTTTTTTGTTTCTTCTCCAGTTCATTTCATTATTACACAATTTGCACTTGATAATCCCTATTACTATTACTACTAATACTACTACTACTACTACGACTACGACTACGACTACTATTACTATTATTATTATTATTATTATTATTTTGTAAATAGGATATTTTAATGAAAAGAGTACAATTAGTGACTTAAATGAATTTCATAATTGAAAATATATTTTGTGTTTTTTTCGTTGTTGCTGTTGTTGTTTTTGTTTCTGATATTTTTCTTTGTCTATTGGGAGAAGTAATTCAACATCATTGAGTAAAATTGGATAGTTGAGTGATTGAAAAGTGTGTGTGTGAGAGAGAGAGGCATCTCAGATAAATAGAATTATTAGCTAAAGGAAAAATTAAGGGGGGGGGAGTTCTGAGAAAATAGAAATAGGATTAGTTGAAGTTGAATATCAACACTGTTGGATACCGGCCGACTCAGTGGTTAAATGATTTAAGCGCTCGCACGCGAGGCTGTTATGTCCTGGGTTCAAATCTCGAGAGACGGGATCGTGGATGTGCACTGTCACTGAGGAGTTCCACAATAGGATGAAACGACCGTCTAGTGTTTTCAGGTGTTTTAGCTTCAATTGATTCATAATTTCAATCATTAAAATTACTTTATTTTTAGTACAAGTATCTTAAATTATGATGAATGTAAAAATTCGTTTATTAATAGATAAATGTACACAATATACGCAGTAAATGTTTTATTCTTTAAAAAAAGACACCCAGTTCATACCATATCACTACAGATAATCTCAATCTGATGCATTGTTTAGTTTCAGTTTTTATCTGATTAGTTAATACCATTTGTACAGAACATATAACTGTTGTTGTTCTAAAGAATGGATTAACCTGGATTGATTCATGATTTCAATGAAGTTCAATAATCTTCATAACTCCATACTTGGAATTATTATATGCTCACTAATGACTAGCTTCAAAATGAAATTTCCGGCGCTCTATTGAGAAGCTTTGACAAACAGAGTTCAACTGTGTTGACTGTCTGGTAGTTATCCACCGAATACAATATGAAGTGGTCACGAAATATCGTGGATTGATTGAGGTTAGAAATAGGCACTACTGGATACTGGTTCAATGTTCGAGAGGTTATTTGTTCGTGTACGAGATCGTAGGTTTCAGGTTTGAGCTCGGATCGAGGGGTCTCATCTGTGTACTACAAATGAATCCAGTACTAGGACAAAACGACCGTTCAGTCCTTCCAGGTCTTCAGTGGTAATCTAAAATTGATTGGTTCGTGGTTCTATAGAAAAATAATTTTCTATCATATTCATATCAGTTTACAAAAGTATTCTAACCGTGTCCAATTGAAAGATGACCTTAAAAAGTAGATATATTTATTAGCATGAAGCAGTTCGAGATATGACTCGATTCAAATAACAATAATAATATAGAGTAACGGTGGAGAAGATTTGTAGCTCAGGTAGACGATTTTGTTCTCTGAGCTCCACGACCGAACTATCCAACTCAGAACAAAACTCCATCAATATAGTGTAACTTCTTGATCCATTCATCAACAGGAAATTACAGAATACGCACAGGTAAGCGAGAAAATAGGTTTGTAATTCATTAATAATAAATTAAGAAAGGTAAATTACATAACAATAGTCAATTCTTCAAACGATAGATTAAATTTAAGAGAATATAAGAATATCATCATTTAAGTGTCTAACAATCATACAATAAAAAATATAAACAATAATTCTTCATAAGATAGTTTCACAAGTTACAGCTTCCTTGATATACGTCCCATTAAAACAAGTGAAACTAAGAGCCATGATGATAATTGTAGACTAACTGGTTAGGATTTATGCGATTATTAAAAACAATGGTTGGTAAATAATAAATTGATATAGCTCAGAATCAATCACGGAACGACCATCAATTGCTTTCAAATTTTCAGTGGTGATCTAACTAGCTATGTACAATTGATTGATCACTGGGTCATGATCAGTGTAATGCATGTCAAGTCCTTATTAGTGCAGATCGAATCCTATCGACCAAGTTCCAATGTGACCACTAGTATAGGTGACTCGACATTGCACTAAGAATTACCTGACATACATGACATTGATCACCACCCAGTGATCAATCAATTGTGAATACATTTCAGTCCTATAGGAGATCAGTTATGGCCCAAAGAGCTCAGTAGTAACGTCTCTGACTGTGAAGCTGAGTAATACGAAATCGGATCCATCAGGAAGCATCTGTTCCCTCAAGATCACAAGTACACCTTACTGATGAATGTTATGCAGCACAAAACCTAGGTCCAGGGTTTCCTGTTGACTACCTCCAATCACCATCTTAACTAGGTATAATTCGTTTAGTTTAAATCGACTCATGAATTCAACTATTACAATTACTACAATCTCCACAAATTCCATTCTAATTATTATCATTATGTGTTTACTAGTGACTGGCTCCAAGATGATTTCTTGGAGTTCTAGTGAGAAGCCGTGACTAGTGGAGCTAATCCTTATCAGGTAAAGATAGATATCTATCTCAATGCAATGGAAGATGACCGAGCAATTTCGTGAATTGGTTGAGATTATACAATAATATCATCGGATGCCGGCTCAGTAGTTTAGAGGTTAAACGTTCTCATGTAAGACTGAAGGTCCTGGATTCGAATCCTGCGAGCGAGATCATAGATAATCACTGCTAAGAAGTTTCACAATAGAATGAAACGGTCGTCCAGTACTTCCAGGTTTTCCATAGTAGTCTAACATCAATCGGTTCATCATCTTAAATAAAAAAAAACTTAATAATTTCCACAACTCTATACTAATCATTTTCTAATTTATTCATTTGTTTTTCTTTTTCTTTTTTTTTCTTCTTTTTTTTTGGTATAGAATAATCATTTCATTTATATTTTATTATATAAATATTTCGTTAATGTAATATATTTTTAACATTATTATTGACTTTCAATCATTCAATCATGATAAATACCTTAGTTTTCTCTTTTCATTAGTATATATATATTTATATACCTAATCAATCAGTTGATTACATTTTTAATCAGTTAAAACAATCATTCATTCAATCAATCAATGTTCAATGTTCAATGTTCAACAGGTGTATAGTTACATAAAGTCAAATAGGTTATTTGTTATTTTGAATAAAATGATGTTTATATTCGGATGTATACATACCTTCTTCTTTTTATTCTTTTTCTTCCTCTCATTCTTCTTCTTCTTCTGATTATTATTATTATTGTTGTGTTTTACTACATGTGTCAAGAAAACATTGATCATTGAATAGAATGTGTGAAATGATAATGTTATAAATTGGGCTAATTTTCTAGTTATCCATTCATTCATTTATTCATTCTATCATCTTTATTCATAAATACAAACACGCACACACACACACATATATATATATACACGAATGCACAGAAAGACATTATTAATGTTGTTATTTTATTAGTTATACGAAATAGTAATATGTAAAGTTGTAAATAACTAGAATGATTATGATTATTATTAAAGAAAGTTACAATCACCATCATCATCATCCTCCTCCTCCTCTTTCTCTTCATCGTATCCAACACCAACGTCACTACTGGTTCTGACATCAAAAGCATTTATTTATGTAATAACATTCTTAAATATCAATCTAATAACGGCGACCATAATAGTAGGCTACCAGATTGGAAAAAATATTTGTGTGTGTGTGTGTATATATGTGCTTCCATTTAACGAAGACATAGATAATCCAAGATTAGAGTCAATGA